TACTGCTTCTATGAAAGCAACCTTCTGTTACTCCTTTACTCTCCCCAGTCGACTGAAAAAGGCAGCGTGATTCCCATTTTCTATTCATGTCCTCCTAAGCTGAGGCTAGGGAGTGCAGCAGCACCCAGCTCGGATGCAAGTGGGCTTGTGTTCAAATCCTGCCACTTAACAAAGTGACACTGGGCAAAGCGCTCACCTTCTGCAGCTCCATGTGAGCCCATGAAAAACATGTAAGAATATTGAATTTGATGGACAGGCAGCAGAACTATAAATCATGAGATGAAAATATATGCTAGTAACTGAGCTCCTGAGGCATGGTGGCTAGTTTTGAACACAGGTACTGTCGTTCAGAAATCAAAACAGCTTCTTTACTTAACAAGCGTATTACGAGCATCTACTGTGGGCAGGTGACACAGATGACAAAGGTGAGCAAAGGTCACAAGGTCCCTGACCTCTGGGAGCTTAGAATCTGGTAAGTACGACAGATTGCTCGAACCAACCAAATAAATACATAATTACCAACTGAGACAAATACTGTGAAGGGAAAATTGAGGGTGTTCAGAGAGCAAAACGGGGGACGTAGCTGGATTAGGAAGATCTTGGGCCTGGAAGTGAAGGATGAACTAGCTGGGATGGGGACTATGGAACCAGTGTGTGTGACAGGTCTGGGGCTAAAAGAAGTGTCACCCCTTTCAGGAGCAGAAGGAAGGCCTGAGTAGTGTAGCGTGAAAGGGAAGGCGGGGAGGGAAGATAAAGCTGGGGAATCCAGCGAGGCAGCCCTGTCAGCCACAGGAGGGATTGAGAGGTTGTGGTCTTTGTCCTCTGAGGAAGGGGAAGCCACAAAGCTAAAGATGCGCTCTCAGATCAGCAACTGAAATTTGCAGTTCAAACACCCACACAGCCCTCTTTCCAAATACCACCTGTGCACCCCACACCTGACTTCAGATGCGTTGCCACGTGATCATGATTGGAAAGTATTTCAAATATGTGTGTGTTATTCACCATTTACCACCTTGCGAAACGTCTCTGATCTCTAAGTTATTATCCCTTGGCCCCCTGGTTTTCCAAAGATAGCCACAACACACATGCCCGCCTGCTCACCTTACCATATACCCCACCACTCCTCCACTGAGTAGTAAGTGGTGGCATCTCTGTCGCCCTGTTTTGAACTTGGGCTGACATCTGTCACTGCCTTGGCCAAAAGAAAACAATGGAAGTCATACTATGTGACTTTTGTGGCTAAGACAGAAAAATGCCATGTACTTCCCCTTTATCCTCTTGGAACCCAGCTGCTGTGCTCTGAGGAAGTTCAAACTAAGGCACATGGAGAAGCCATATGGAGAGGCCACACATAGTTTTTCTGGTTGACAGCCCAGTTGAGGGTCCCAGCCACCAGCTGGCATCAACCCCAGACACTGGAGTGATGTTGCCTCCAGAGGACTGCAGACCCAGCTGGCAAGTCACCCAGCCTTTCACTCCTTCCAGCAGAGGCCCCAGACGTGGAGCAGAGACAAGCCATCCCTACTACACTTTGTCCAAATTCCTGAGCCGAAGTATCCATGAGCAAAAAAATAAAATGGTAGTTTTACACCACTATACTTTGGGGTAATTTGTTATTAGCAATAGTAACTGGACCAGAATATATATAATATATGTACATACATATGTATATACAAACATACATATATGTGTGTGTGTGTATATATATATATGTTTTGAGCAATATATATTACATTTTTTTTTCCATACTCATTATTCACCTACCCAGGAACTTTCTAGAGGACATGTCTATAATCACTCCTGAGTTAGAACCTCTGGGCTTTTTTGACATGACTTCTGGGGAAAAAAAGATGACCAGATTCCTTACTTCAAACAAAAAATTAAACACTTTCAAACCACTCGAAACACACAAAAGTAATCCATTCTCACTGCAAAAAAAAACAAGATAAAGAAAAGAAAACCCCCCATTAGCAAATCTGACACTCTGACACCTTATTTCAATTGGCTTTGAAAACAGATAAAAAATGAGATCTTTATCAGCAATATCTAAATAGAACACCCAGGCCCACTTGCTTCCTCCACCACCAAAAGCTCGGGGCATCCGCAAAGTGTGTGTGCAAGTTTAAAGAACACAACGCGTGAAAAGTGTCCTTATTTTAGCACGGTGCCTGGCATGTAAGAGCCCACCAAGTTCCAGTTATTATTACTGCTTTTGTTACCATGAGGGTTAACCTTTGTCTTGATTACAGCACTAACCCTCCCTTTAATAATGCCTGTGTCCCATCTCAGAGAAAGGAATTTAGACTGGAGTTCGGTCAGATGTCCAGAAAGGGAGCTCAGATTCCATACCATCAGGAATGTTATACAACACTGTGTAACACAACTGCAACACCTCTCTATCTGGGTTTGGTGAAAGGACTGTGCTCTTTATATAAAAAAAAAAAAGAAAGAAAGAAAGAAAGAAAGAAAGAAAGAAAAAAAGAAAGCAAGAGAGAGAAAGGAAAAGAAAAATTAATATGCGTTAGAAAACAGGCTTCTGCTTAGTTACGTTTAATCACTGCGTGGCTTTCAAGGTAAATAAATAAAAAATCCCCCTTTGATCATTAGCAAGGTACCCCCATGTGTTTATATAAATATTACAAAGCTGCACCCAGATGGTGGCATGAATAGCAGGGAACAGAGGTGGGATCAAGCAGCCAGGCCACCTTGGTCTGGTTCTTCCCTCTATGCCCCAAATGCTGTGTGACCTTAAGCGGATCACTCAGCCTCTCCCAGACACCGTGTCTTTAAAATGAGGCTAAATTCCAAACTTTTTATCCATACTGAAAGGACCCTTAAGTAGAGTAACACCCAAGTTTCCAGGGTAAAAGTCACTATTCAAATGCTTAAGTATGCTGAATGACAATTGCCCCCAAGCTAAATGATCACGTGCAGATTCACACATATTAATTAATTAGCTCCAAAAAACTAGCTTAAAACACCTGAGCCTTGCTGAGAATCGGCTAGGCGTCGTGTAGTGAAATGATGAGTATCTACTTAAAGAAAAGGTGACGGGACAGAATTAGGGTGGGCATGCCATTTGGGGGCTGGATGACATCCTTCTTTGCACTGCTGGCTTTTCACTGTTACCTTCAGTTGCTGGGGTGAGGGTCTTCTGAAGCCCTACATTTCTGGGAGAGGAGAGAGAGGCAGAAAGAATATGGAAGGAGAGAGACCAAGGGAAGGGACGGGGAAAAGAGCCGTGCTACGGAACTATGCCCAAGTTGGTGGCACCTGAATAGAAATGTCACTGTTAGGGAAACCATTTCAAAATGACATTTGAGTCACCAGGTTTTAAGTTTGCACAGTGTCTGCCACCTCCTTTCCCCCTGAACATCCCAGCTTTCCCAGGGCCCAGGCAGCCCCCTGTCACTGATGGACTTAACTGTATGGGTCACATTCTCCATCCAGAAAAATGTCTTTCATATCCTGACAGCGGTGGGAACTCTAGGACTCACAGAGCCCCAGCATGCAGGAAAAAATGGTGGCACGTAATTGACTTCGCATGGTCCTTTCCAAAGGTGGCACCAAGTACAGACTGGCTTTGCACTCATAAAAATCCGGTAGATTAAAAGTCAGTGAAAGGAAATTCTTCTCGGGAGAAGCAGTCGGTAGCTGCTCTTGGCAGGTCTGGCACTGCCCTCTGAGAGAGGTCCAGCTTCCCTCCCCAGCACAGCCCCCTTCCCGATGCCGGCCCCCATCACCAGATAATCTGGGATTCAGGAAAAAGGGAGAGAGCTGTAGTCCCAAGGGCTCCACTGAAGACCCAGACAGACTCTCTCATATTACCATATATGAGGAAGTCTGTCAAGAGGTCTGGTTAAGACCTGAACCAAGCCCGACCATCTGCTTCCCCCCCCCCCGGAAGAACGAGACCAGCCAATTTGGGGGAGATCCCTTCTTTAATTGATGTCACCCTTTCACCATCACTATCGAAAAGATTTTATTCTGCTCTTCCTAACGCCTTGTATCAGGGCTACATCTATCTTAACACCAAGGCACGTATTTGTAACGGCTTTTTCTCACAACCATTTTTACGGCTGTTTTCCCACGAACTGTGCCACTTGAACGGCTGGGATATAAAACCGTTTTTACAACAGTTATTCTTCCAAGTCTCTCCCTCCGTTATTTAGACAGCTGCCCCCCAGGGTCCAAACTGTTTTCAGTGGACAACTGTTCTGAGCACATTTCTCCACAAGGTCTATTTCAGCTCAAGAAAAGCCAAGGACAAAGATAAGACAAAAGTTGTGGGTAAAGGGCGGACCCACTGCAGGGCACCGTGAGAGCAGTAGAGAGCCTGATGGGCAGGACAATCTAAACCATTTCTTCCAGACCTGGAAGGGCACAAAAGGGATCAGTCTTCCCAGTCTGTGTTCAGTGAAAGAGAACAAGTAGATTCCTTAAACCCTAGCCAGGTGGCCAACACTTTTTTTTCCTACCCGAAGTTCCGGGCACCTGTTCTGGAAAAGCGGGTATGGAGCCCTCTACCTGGTCCACACCGCGTGTTCTATATGGGGAGCACTGGAGAATTACGTTTTCACCAGTCAACCAGCCCCTCTTCGTGTTCTCAATAAGCCAAAGGTGTACAGGTGGTTACCTGCACAGGTACCGAGTCTTACCAGGACAACTTTGTTGGGCCGGGGCGGGGGTGTACCTCCTTAGGGTAACAGTCCCCACCGCCTCTACCACCAATCCCTCCAGCCGGTGGGTTAGAAGGATAGAGCCAAGAGGCACAGGTAAGGGTTCCCGGGGCGAGCCCGGCGGCTCCGCGTGCCGTCTGCGTCTCCACTGCGAGGTCCTCGCCTCCAGGGCCCCCTCCTTCCGAGCCCCCCAAGGGGCAGGGGGAGTCCTCGTGCCCAGCACCCCCTCCCACCGGCCAGCCTGCTCGCCCCGCGCCCGGCCCGGGAGCCCCGAGCTGCCGGAGCCGCAGCGCCCACTCGGGGCGAGCCGCGAGCACTCACCATTATGCTCTTGCATGCTCGACAGCGACCAGAGCAGCAGCGCCACCAAGGCCAGGAAGCAGAGCTGGCTCAGCAGAAGGTCCCTCCGGCGGCTCCGGCGACGCTCGCGGTCCTCGTCGTCGGGCGACGGCATCCTCGGGCGGCAGGGCAGCGGCCCCGGCGGGGGCCCCGGCGGGCGCCGGCCGCTCCTCTCGCGGGCGGCCGCGGCGGGGACGACGGCTGGAGGCAACCCTGCGCGCTGCAGCCGCGCGTCCTCGCTGCGCTCCCGCTCGGCCGCCGCCTTCTCTTCCTCTTCCCCGCCGCTGCCGGGCTCGTCGTCTTCGTCCTCGTCGTCGCTGTCGCTCAGTCCCTCTTCGCCCTCCTCCTCCTCCTCTTCGCCGCTGGCCCGCGCCGCCGCCTCCCGGCGCTCGGGGTCCCTCTCCTCCTCGCGCGCCATGGCTCCCACGCTCGGCGTCCGCGCTCGGCCTCGGGCGGCGGCGCGGCGGGGGCGGCGGGGGCGGCCGGGAGGCGGGGGCGGCGGCCGCCGAGGAGGAGGAGCGGGGAAGGACCGGCGGGAGGAGGGCCCGCCGCTGGCCAACTCCGCCGGCTGGTGAGGCCACCCGGTCTGGCTCCGGCCTCGCCGGCTGCGGGAGCGCGTCGCGGGGCCGCCCGCCCCCTCACTCCATGATCCGCGCGCGGGGAGCGGGGAGCCGGGGCCGAGCGGGGCCGGAGCGCGCCGGGAGCACGGGCGAGGCGTGAGCACGGGCGGCGCAGCTCCCGCAGCCTGCGGCGGCGCGGCAGCTCGGGCTCGGGCTCGGGCGCGGGCGGGGGGCAGTGCCGGGGACGCAGCCCGCGCTGGCCGGCGCGGCGGAGAGGGGGCGCGTGGGGAGGAGACTGAGCTGGGGAGGGAGCCCCGCGCGCGATCCTTCGACCGTGTAGTGCCGGGTTGGGGGGGGCGGCGCAGAAGGCCCCCTCTTGGGGAGCACGCCACTGGGAGGCGGGTCTCCGGGCTGAAGGAATCGCCCGAAACTTCGGAGAACCCGATGGTCTCTTCAGCCCCCTCCCCACCCTCTGCCCGGAGCCGAGGGGCGGCGAGTGCGCTCGGTTGCGCGCGCCCAGCCGCTGGCTGCGCCTCCTCCCGGGGGCCTCCTGGGTTTCCCTCCGCCCCCTTGTGGGGATCCCCTGCGCGCCAGGCTCTGGTCCTGGAACCGGACTCTCCGGAGGCTCTTGCCTCACTGGGGTGTCCTGGATCCCTGCGCTACCCGGCTCGCACTTCACTCCCCGATTGCGCTGGACCCAACCCAATGCTGTGGCTGAAGAAGAAGGGCATCGGCACTGTCCCTGAATAAGGCGGCCTGAGGGTCCCTAGCCAACCTCAGGAGGAGGACCCTGGCTTCCCGCAGGGAGCATCAGCCTGCCCCTACCCCCTGAGGTCACAGGCCTAGTTCCTCCATTCCTCTGCTCCCAGTTCCTGCCCTCACCTACTTAAGGTGGTAACTGTCCTAGAGTCTGGCCCGGCCCACAGCCCTGCAGAAGGTGCCCATTTAGAGAGGACACCTAGTGGTCTCAGAACCACCCACCATCCCTCCTCGGGCTTCCACGTGCCTCCCTAGGTCTGTGGGCTGGACGACAGATAAACAGCCCTAAGATGATACCCTTGCGATGGGGCTGGGAAAAAAAAAGAGCAGGTTCAAAAGAGGATCATCTGGAAACTGGGGATCTGTGTGTGTGACTGTCTCCTATGAGAATACTTTGCCACAGACATCTAGACAGGTGAGCAGGAAGAAGGTTTCTCCAGTTCTAGGTCCGGGAGCACCCAAAGTCCAAGTGTGTCTGCACCTGTGGGGGATCTAGCCCACAGCTTCTCAGATGACCCTGAACAGCACCTGGGGACAGCAGGGTCACAGAAAAGGACAAAGCAAACCTTCAAAGGTGGCTTCCTTTCCAGAGAGGGACTATTTCACTCACAGAGACAGGAAGACTGCTTCTTGGGCATGTCATTTATTTACTCATGTTCTCAGCTTGGCATCTTCACAGACACACAGAACCCCTTCCTATGACGGCGGTGTGGTTGTCCTTTTGCTTTGGTTCCCAGCTACTGAGGAGGATTTAAAACTATGTAAGTTCCTCTAGGCTGGAGTTGGGGTTGGGGTGGGGGGTTTTCTCCAGTGGTGTTACCTCCCTCAAATGTTCAGAAACACAAAAATAGGTTAGGGGAGCAGAACACATTGCTTTTCCTTCAGCTAACTAGGGAAGACACTCCAATAGTGTAAATAGGAAAAATAAAAATGAAAGAGGGAAGCTGGAACTAATTGGGCTGGGGAACAAACACAAGCTTAGGGGGAAATGGCCACAGGCACCAGAAATTGTATAATCGAGGGGATGGGGAGAGGTATGGAGAGGAAGCAGGGAGGAGGGACCAGGAACTGTTGATTCCCTAGAAATCCTCCCAGCACCTGTGGTAAGAGAGAGGAAGAAACAGGGCAAAAGGGAGAGAGAGGGAAAGAGCTCACTCCTGTGGCACATAGAAATGACTTTTGAGTTAATATTCACTGTGACATTTCAGAGCAAAGAGGGTATTGAAGTAAAACAAAGACCCCTGAGCAGCCAGTCACCACCCAGGAAGAAAAATGGGGAAATCTGTTCCCAGGCCTGATAGAACCTTGGGCAGGTGGGTACCTCACTGCATGCGCCCCTACCCCACCCCGAGGCAATGGCTTCTTTGCAGGAAGGAGAGGGAAGGTTTCTTCTTGGGTCAGGCAAGACCCTCTTCTTCAAAAGGCACCTTTGGAGGTTGGGGAGCGGGGGATTCCTAAGTCCTCTGCAGCAATGGGGAAGACAGGCAGATCCCAGTGGGCTCCTCTTCGAAGGAAAACAGCTATTTCTGTCCTATCCGTTCTCTCCCAGTTTTCAGAAGCACCCCGCTTCCCACAATTGAATTTTGTTAGAACCAGGAGCTGAAATCATTAATGTGCTACTTATCTTTCACCATCAGGATCGTCATCAATCCTGAGGTAGCTTTTGCCTTTTATTTCTTAATCTGCTTGTATTTGATCTCACATTTTTGTGCCGGGAGCCGTAGGGAGAAAATTCTAGGCCCTGCTATGTCAGTCTGAAGTTTAGCTTGTTTGGAAAGAGAGGCATCAGCCCGAGATGCGCTGGGGCTTTTACCCTTCCAGGAATGAGCCAGGCACCTCCTCACTCAGGGCTAGGTGCTGGGGGTCACTGTGCATGGCCCCTGTTTTCACCTCCCATCCACATTCCAGTTTTCATTCTGTGTAAAGACTTTGGCCTGATGCGGGGGCACAGAAGTGATTCATCTTTCTCCTAGCTCTGCCTTTATAACAAAAATTAAAGGCCTCCCATGACCACATTCGCTGATGCTCTCAGCCCAGGAGAGCTCTTACATCAGCCAGTGAGCGGAGCCTTATCTGCACCCAGAAAACCAGCAGCTCCTGGGCCCTCCTGCGTTCTTTCCAGGTCTCCAGCCTCCCCTTGCCCACAGCACCCAGACCTGACAGCAGTTTCCACAACAAAGCAAGGTCCTATCTCCATAACACCAAACAATGCCAGTTGTGTCAGACAAACCACCAACTGAGAAGGAAGGAAGGGAAGCAACAAGAAAATCAGAAGCCACTTGCTGGCTGAGGTTACTTACCAGGGCTGCACTCTAACACAGGAAGACATGGCCCAAGCAAAAGGAGAAGACCACCAGAGGTGAACAAAAAACCTTTTTACATCTCTTTTACCATATTTTTGTTAAGGAAGCTCTATACCCAACAAGGAGTTTGAACCCCAAGATTAAGAGTCGCGTGCTCTACAAACTGACCCAGCCAGGCACCCCTCACAGAAAACTTCTAAGCACAGGAAGGCCAAATGTTGGCAGATGAGGGAATAAAAAGGAGAAACTCTTCCATGGAATGTTTCTGGAACAGTCCTCAGGTATAGTACTCCTTCCATGTGCCTAGAGACAACCACCCAGGCCTTCTGTCACCACCTGACTCGGTAATCTATGGCACTGACCAAACTGACCTGTAGCCCTTCACCTGCGGACATGTCACCTTGTGCACGTGCAGTTCCCCAGATTTGGACAAAACCCCAACTTCACCCTGGAAAGCCTGACTCTTGCTCTCACTCTTGTTCTTATCAGCTACCTTTCTTAAAAGCCAGTAAAACTGCTCCTTTAGACTCTTCCTGAGCTGTCAGCATTCTGAAGAACACAAATTATCACTCCTGTATGTGTGTGAGTCCACACTCCACATCCAGAGGCATTTGGGAGCACCCTGTCGGCACATGGGGCTCACGTTACCTTAAATGTTAAGGAAGAGTTAAGCGAAACTGCTCGTTTTATGCTAGTTTCCAATTTTTTATTTTCCTTTTGCCCAACTGTCTGCTTTTGTTTGGCAATTTGGACTCACTATGTGAATATGGCTGTAGGTCTTTTTCTTTCCCTGGTGGAACACTGTCATACTCACAGCTGCCCATCATCTTTTTTTATTAAGATTTTTTTTATTTATTTGAGAGCCAGCATGCACGCATGTGAGTGGAAGAGTCAGAGGGAAAGGGAGAGAGATTCTTAAGCAGACTCTGAGCTGAACACAGAGTGTGACATGGGGCTGGATCTCAACGACCCTGAGATCATGACCCGAGCTCAAACCAAGAGTCAGATGCTTAACGGACTATGCCACCCACCATCTTTTTTTTTTTAAAAAAAGTAGGTATTATAATATACATACAGTAAAATGCACGCAGCTGAAGCATAGAGTGCAATGATTGTATGTACGTATGTACGTATGTACACCCTACGTGGGTTCCACATCACGAATTAGAAGATTTCCTGATCACCTCTTCCCCCACCCCCGCCACCCGAAAGACTCCTTGTACCAAGCCTCCAGTAGGCAGTAACCCTCTGAAAACAACCCTTTGCAGGTCCTTGCTGCCTGTCCTTGAACTTCAGGTAAATGGATGCTTCCTTCTGTGGGATCTGTCCACACGGGTGTGTAGAGCTGTGATTTATTTATTTTTTTCATGCTGCATAGGTGTGTATTGTTTTTACATGATGCTTCAGTTCCCTTCCAAGTTTAGTGTAAGCCAAGAATATCAAACCAGTGCCTCTGGATCAGAGACAAATGATCTCCCAGATTGGCTAGTTTTATAAGGAACTTCAGCTGAAATTGAAACAGTCACAGGCTGCTTCTCAAACCGGTTACACTACCCCAGGGTAACTGCAGGACAACAGGTCAACCAGCAAACTTCAGAGGTCGAGATTTTAAAGACAAGCCTAGAAGAAGCCCTCAGATGTGCATAAGCTTTGCACGCAGCTTGGAATGGAAAAAGCACAACCCACTTCTTGTGAATTCTTCCCCCCTCTTTTTCTTCTAAATGAGAGTTAAGTAGAAAAGGTAACATCGGGAGAGATTCCCACCCAGTCCTTGACAGAGCCATGGAACAGCCTTTCAATCAAATGTCAGGGGACTTAGAAAGTATAAGAGAGATTTTTAGACATGTATGCACAATCTCCCAGGGGCTCTTCTGTGTTAAGGTTTGACGTCTGCTGTTCTGGGAATACAGCTTGGCATGTATTTTTGGTGGATCCTGGAGGGCAAATCTAAAAATGAAAAATATATTACCTTGCGCCTTTTTGTCAATATTTTTAATTGACTTGTTTGGGATGTTTAGAAGAAGTAAAGACAGGGTACACAAACACACCCTATA